GGGGGGGGGGGCTTTCACTATTTGTTTTTCAAAATCCGTGGCATAATACCATACAAAGATATATACAGGCAAAGCTAGTCCTCCCTGCTCCCACCCCACCTTCCAGTCCCATGCCCTGAGATACCAACATCAGCAGCCTGGCGGGCGTCCTTTACAAGCCTTACCTTTGTTCACACAAACCTGGACAAACCTATATGGGGTTTGAATTATCCATTTTCCCCATATATTAGCTTCCTATACTTATGGCACCACCGTTTGCCTTTTTCACTTAATATGATGTACACTCCTTACAAAAAGTTAGACCTAAATCTTTATTTTCTAACTTAAGCATCTATATATGCACATAAGCACATACTTTTACAGAGATGGGTGAATTTTATACTTGCTGGGGTGTTATCAGTGCCATATTCTCTTTTTTTGTATTTTAATTACAGTTTACATCCAATATTATTTTGGATTATTTTCAGGTGTACAGCATAGTGGTCAGACATATGCTTTACAAAGTGGTTCCCCTCAACGTTTCAAGTACCTTTGTAGCGCCACACAGTTCTTACAATATTATTGACTATATTCCCTATGCTGTACTATACACTCCTGTGACTATGTCGTGACTACCAATTTGTGGTTCTTAATCCCTTCACCTTTTTTATCCAGTCACCCGACCCCCTCCTCTCTGGCAACCATCAGTCTGATCTCTGTACCTATGAGTCTGTTTCTAATTTGTCTTTTCATTTATTTTGTCCTTTAGACTCCACAGTTAAATGAAATCATGTGGTATTTGTCTTTGTCTGACTTATTTCACTTAGCCTAATACCTTGTAGGTCCATCCATGCTGTTGCAAATGGTAAGATTTCCTTCCTTTTATGGCCAAGTAACAGTCCCTTGTGTAAACGTATTACCATCCTTTTTTACCCACTCATCTACTGATGGGCACTTGGGCTGCTTCCATATCTTAGCTATTGTAAATAATGCTGCAATGAACATAGGGGGGCATATATTCTTTCAAATTAGTGTTTTGGGTTTCTTCAGATATATACCCAGAAGTGGAATCACTGGGTCAAAAGGCAGCTCCATTTTCAATTTTTCCAGGAACCTCCACACCATTTTCCACAGTGGCTGCCCCAGTCTGCATTGCCACCAGCAGTGCACAGTGGCTGCCCCAGTCCGCATTGCCACCAGCTGTGCCCGGGGGCTCCCTTCTCTCCACATCCCCACCAGCACTTGTTTGATGATTTACTGATGGAGCCATTCTGGCAGGGGTGAGGGGATGTCTCATTGTGGCTTTAATTTGCATCTCTGATGATTAGTGACATTGAGCATCTTTTCATGTGTCTCTTGGCCATCTGTATGTCCTCTTTGGAGAAGTGTCTGTTCAGGGCCTCTGCCCATTTTTAAATTGGGTTTGTTTGGGTTTTTTGTTTGTTTTTGGTGTTGAGTTGTATGAGTTATTTATAAATTTTGGATATTAACCCCTTATCAATGTATCATTAATGAATATCTTCTCCCATTCATCAGACTGTCTTTTCATTTTGTTGATGGTTTCCTTTGCTGTGCAAAAGCTTTTTAATTTGATGTAGTCCCATTTGTCTATTTTTTCTTTTGTTTCCCTTGTCTGAGGAGATATATTAGAAAAAAATATTGCTAAGAGAAATGTCAAATTTTACTGCCTGTTTCCTTCTAGGAGTTTTATGGCTTCAACTCTTACATTTAAGTATTTAATTCATTTTGAGGTGTGTGTGTGTGTTTTAATATGGCATAAGAAGGTGGTTTCTTTTCTTTTTTCTCTTCTCTTCTCTTCCCTTTTCTTTTCTCTTCTCTTCCCTTTTCTTTTCTCTTCTCTTNATATGGCATAAGAAGGTGGTTTCTTTTCTTTTTTCTCTTCTCTTCTCTTCTCTTCTCTTCCCTTTTCTCTTCTCTTCCCTTTTCTCTTCTCTTCTCTTCCCTTTTCTCTTCTCTTCCCTTTTCTTTTCTTTTTTCTTTTCTTTTCTTTTCTTTTCTTTTCTTTTCTTTTCTTTTCTTTTCTTTTCTTTTCTTTTCTTTTCTTTTCTTTTCTTTTCTTTTCTTTTCTTTTCTTTTCTTTTCTTTTCTTTTCTTTTCTTTTCTTTTCTTTTCTTTTCTTTTCTTTTCTTTTCTTTTCTTTTCTTTTCTTTTCTTTTCTTTTCTTTTCTTTTCTTTTCTTTTCTTTTCTTTTCTTGTCTGATTTTCCCAGCACCATTTATTGAATAGACCATCTTTACCCATTGTGTGTTCTTGCCTCCTTTGTCATAGGTTAGTTTACTTTACAGGCGTGGGCTTATTTCTGGGCTCTCTATTCTGTTCAATGGTCTACGCACCTGTTTTTAAGCTAGTACCAGGCTGTTTTGGTTACCATAGCCTTGTAGTATAGTTTGACAACAGGCAGCATGATACCTGTGACTTTGTTCTTCTTTCTCAAGATTGCTGTTGCTATTCAGGGTCTTTTGTGGTTCCATATAAAATTTTGGATTATTTGTTCTACATCTGTGAAAACTGCCATTGGTATTTTGATAGGAATTGCCTTGACTCTAAAGATTGCTTAAAGTAGTATGGGCATTTTAATGATGTTAATTCTTCCAACCCATGAGCATGGTATATGCTTTTATGTATTTGTATCTTCTTTAATTTCTTTCTTCAGTGTCTTATAATTTTCTGAGTACAAGTCTTTTATCTCCTTGGTTAAATTATTCCTAGGCATTTTAATTTTTGATGCAATTGTAAATGGGATTTTCTTAGTTTCCCTTTCTGATAGTTCATTATTGGTGTATAAAAATTCAACCAATTTCTGGATATTTATTTTATATCCTGCTACTTTACTGAATTCATTTATCAGTTCTAGTCATTTTTTGGTAGAATCTTTGTGGCCTCTATATACAGTATCATGTCATCTGCAAATAATGACAGTTTTTCTTCCTCCTTTCCAATTTGGATGCCTTTTATTTCTTCTTTCTGTCTGATTTCTGTGGCTAAGATTTCCAGTATTATGTTGAATAAAAGCGGTAAAAGTGAACACCCCTGTTTTGTTCCTGATCTTAAGGGAAACACTGAGTTTTTCCTGGTTGAATATGTTAGCTATGAGTTTGTACTATATGGCCTATATTATGTTGAGGTAGTGCCATATTCTCTTACCTCCCAAAATTTGTTATTTCCTTCCATACTTTCCTTCATTCTTATATAACAGGGTTGCCGAATTTAGCAAATAAAAATATATTACTTGGGACAAAAATAATTACAAAGTAACAGCATGAGTCATTGCCCTATTATATAACCACATACAAACATGCGCATTTGGAGTCCGATTATATATATTTCCTTGCAACTTAATGTTATGATTTAGCAATACCCAAGGACATTCCTCCCTCCAAGTCAACATGTGGCGCTCTCTCTCTCTCTTTTTTTTAAGTGGCTGCATAAGAGTCCCTGGTGTGGGTGTTCTCTCATCAGCCCATCCACCCCACTGATGATGACAGCCTTTAGTAAACATTGTCCCAAGTCCCCCACAGACCCCTCCTGGGCTCCATGCCTTTTCTTTGCCATCTGTAGTTCAGAGTTTGTGCTCCGGGAACTAGGATAGCAATATCCAGAGATACCCCAGGAAGTAGTGCTTCCCACTTTAAACACATCAAACTTTTTTAATATCCATTTCTTTAGGAGAAATGCTGCTGGTTAGCTTCATCGAGAGGAAAATAAGTGAGAAACTCCAGCTAGATTTGGAAAAGAAAAGGTAATCCAGATTTAGAAGATTTACTGGTCTCCCTGCTTACTTTGTGTGGTAGCCTTTACTCATAAAAGGAGGTGGGTTTTTCTTTCCATAGGAAGCCTTGGGGTTTTTCCTATGGAAGAAAAGGTTTGATTATAACTATTTCCCTCCTTTTGAACAGAGAGATCGGTTTGCCCATGAGCTACAGATAAACAAGGAGAAAAAAAGCCTCCAGCTCTTCTGCCTGAGAATTCTGATCAAGCGTCTGGGCCCCCCGTGGCTTGGACACCTTGGGGGACCCCAGCTTTGTCCATTTTACATTCCCACCAGCAATGTATGAGATTGAGTTTCCCCAAATTCCCTGGCCAACATTTGGTGTTATCATGATCTTTTTTTCTAATTTTAGCTATTCTAATGGTACTGTGGTTTCAAATTGCATTTCCCTAAAGTCTAACGATGTTTTCACTTGCTTGTCTGCCATCTGAAATGTCTATTCACGTGTTCCGCCCATTCTCTAAATGGACCGTTTGTTTCCTTTGCTGTTGAGTTTTGAGACATGTATCTATTTCCTGGAGAATAAAAACAGCCTCCTGAAAGCTTCTTGTTCAGTTCATGGTTCTTTAGGGTCCTCACTGGTTTTCCAGGGCAGGGGATGGCAGCGGCTAGGGCAGCTGGGCAGGCAAGGCGAGGGCCAAAAAGAGAGGGAGGGAGGGAGAGAAGGGAGGCTGGGCGGGGGGGCAAAGGCTGCCTCAGAGTCCCTGGTGTGGGGGTCTCTAGTCTGTCCCTCCACACACCCCTGATGAAGACAGGCCTCTAGTAAATATTGTCCCAAGCCTCCTGGCTCGCTGGTGAAGCCCAAGGGGGTGCCTTTGAAGGCTGCTGGTAGGCAGGTAGCTGGGAGAAGCCTAGAGATGCGATGGGCAAACAGTGTACGCCACCTTTCCGCCTGGCCTCTGGGCTCACCCCTTAGGGCACCAGCCCCCCTGGGAGGAAGGGCCAAGGAAAGTGGGTGGGTAGGTGCTTCCTATCGTCCCCCAGCTGGAAAGGGGGGGAAGTTGTCAAGCCCTGTCTCAGTGGGTGGGTCAGGTTTGCTTCAGGCTTTCCCTCGGGAGCCCATCTAAGAAGGGAAAGGTGGCCGAGCACGTGGCAGTGGATTCTGAAGGGGGTGGCAGAGCAGTGGCAGTGGATTCTGAAGGGGGTGGCAAAGGGGGTGGCAGAGCAGTGGCAATGGATTCTGAAGGGGGTGCCTAAGCTGGGTCTCTCGGACCTGACAGGCCCCCGGGCTGGGTCAGGACGGGAGGCGGTGGACCGAGCCCCAAGTTCAGGGCAGAACCCGGTCCCTGATCAGAGGGAAGGAAGGAAGGAGAGTGCCATCCTCACCGGCGCTGGCCGAGCCCCGCCCC